TATAATATGAAAGTATTGTTGTGTTCATCACGACTTCCAGTTGACTACTCTTATTAGCATATACTTTCTCTGTCCTAAAATATAAGTCGTTATGGGATGCGTGCAAATCAAACTTTTTCAACTTTGACTAGGTTTGTAAAAAATACGTACAACATTTATATCTCTAAATAAGTTTATTATAAAAATATATTCAATGGTCTATGTAATGATACTAATTATGTATTATAAATATTAATATTCTTTTATATATAATTAGTTGAAGTTAAAAAAAGTTGACTTGTCGGAAAGCGAGATTGAATTCTATTTTGAGACAGAGAGAGTCAGCCTGTTCGCTTGTTGGTTTCAACCAGCCCAAACCAGCCAGCCAACAGTGTTTTTCTCTCACAAAAAAACAGCACCAGCCAGCCCAAACTAGCACCAGCACCAACCAACGAACAGGCCCAGTATATGAAAGCAGTGTTGAAAATATTTTAATAATTAAGTTCGTCTCTGTCTGATTGGTAAGCTTAGACATCATAATGGCATAAAAAATTTCGACTCTCATGGATACCCTCATAAATCAGTGCAAAGCATCCCAATCCTACAGCATACACAAATGACAACCTTAAAGTTATGATATTTTCAAAGGGTGGACAATAAAGACCATCTTAGACGTTCTGGCATTAGAGTATATACGTGTAGGCACATAGGCATGGTGGTGCAAGTGAGCAGCCAGCAGGAGTCGAGAGTTAGGGGGTGTTTGATCCCAGGACTAAACTTTAGTCCCTGTCACATTAAATTTGTAGATATCAATTAGGATGACTAAACATGGGCTAATTATAAACTAATTACATAAGTTGTGGCTAATTCACTTGCCAGCGCCATGTACAGGATGGTATGGATATATGGTGAAACTTATTCGTGGATTTGTTGACGCACGAAAGAAATGGATATCGGAAATCTCTTTCTGCCGGTATAAAAAATGATCTTAGCCGCATCACGGAAAGATCTACACAGTAGAGTTTGTGAGCCTGCGACACCACGCTCTCTGTGACTGTGTAAATTTCACGAACTTAGCTTTTTGGATTAAATATCACTTTAACGTTGTTATCTTATCGTGTGATCCGTGTGTTTTTAGTATAAAAGTCTAGCTGTCCCGTAGCAACGCACGGGCAAGAACATATTTACATATATACTCGAACCTGTGTGTACATGATTATATGGAGATGCAACGGAACTTATTCATGAATTTATTGGCGCATGAAAGAAATAGACATCGTAGAATTCTTTCTGCCGATATAAAATATTATCTTAGCCGTATCACAAAAAAGTCTATACAGTAGAGTTTGTGAGCCTGCGACGTCGCGCTCTCCATGACTGTGTTAATTTCACGAACTTTGCTTTTTGAATTAAATGTCACTTTAAGTCGGTATTTAATTTAACAATATTATTATCTTATCGTGTGATCCATATGTTTTTAGTACAAAAGATTTAATTATTCCGTTGCAACGCACGAACACGAAGGAATAAAATTATTCTAGCCACCGCATCAACCATGGATGCAGAATGTCATCGATCATATATATATATATATATATATATATATATATATATATATATATATATATATATATATATATATTAAAACTTCAGCAGGAAACGACAAAACGGAAGCCATCTTCTATGTGAACAAAATTACTTTGCACGACTATCTTTGCTAGCTCCTATGTGCACCTCTCCGGCTCCTCTAGTCTAGCTAGAGAAATAACTTCCCTGGTGAAACTAAAACCTTTTGGCGAAACATTTAGTAAAATGGCTTCTTTAGACCCTCCCAAACGTCAGTATTATCAAGAAGGAAAACTTTAACTCAAGTAAGTAAGAGCAGGAGATTCACGCTTTCGGTAAAAAAAAAACTCAGCCTGCGGTGGACAGACAGCCCCTGCAGTTTTTATGCTAGGAAGAAGACCTCTCACGCAGGCCGAGAAAACCCCAAAACCTCATGCCCTGCCCTCACACAGGGGCTCGTACCCCTGTGAGTAGGCCGGAACCTTTTTACCTGTGCTTTGGGACGCGGGACAGGCGATGATTTTTTCCCCTGCACAAACTGCGCATTACCGCAGCTGTGCTTGCGGCAGCCGGGAGTCGAACTCCCGACCGGGGCCTTCCCACGACGGGGACGGAACCACTCGAGCTAACGCTTTCGGTCAAGCCTAATGGGAGTTACAAATTCCTAAACCTAGGAAGGTTCAACCTAAAAAGTGGCAACCATATTAGGTTTTGGGAAGATAAATGCTTAGGGTCCCAAGCATTAAATTATACCCTACATTGTTTGTAGTGAGAAAAGAAACAACCTAAAAAGTGGCAACCATATTAGGTTTTGAGAAAATAAATGCTTAGGGTCCCAAGCAAACAAGCAACAATTGTGGAAGTGCTAAGTTCAGATTCTCTCAAGTACCCGTCGGAAGGGCATTAGTTGGGAATAAACTTTCAGATTGGCACAATATTAATATCGCACAAGAGTCGCGAATATTAACCTAATGGAGGGTCTAGATCCATCTGTGTAGAAATTGCACGGTGATGGAACACTTTCAATTAAATCAGTATGTAAATATCTTGCCAATAAATGAATTAAGGTTATGCAAGAAATTTTCCATTTGAAGATTGCATTGAAAACGACTAAGATTTTTTGTGGTATCTAAAAAAGGGAGTCATTCTCACTAAGGACAAACTAGGTAAAAAAAGCCCGAATGGTAGTAAGAAGTGATGCTTTTGTAGTAAAACAGAGATTATCTATCACCTGTTTTTTTTAATGTTATTATCCCAAATGTTTATGGCGTGTTGTATATATTGTGTTGTGAGTACTTCCATTACAAAATAAAGAGAGCATATGTTCAACAACTGGTATAAACATGGTGACAACAAAACTACAATTCCCTCAAAAAAACGATGATGAAACTACAAATAATTTCTGTTATTAATTGACAAGAGCATAACAGTATTTTGTTGGGATATCTAGCTCACAAAAAATGAATTTGTGTTTAACAACAATGAACAAAAAAGTTTCTTTGGGGCTCTATTCAGGATAATGCATTGCATTCGGTTTTAGGCTCTATTATAGCGCATCAATGACCACAATGACCAAAAGGAGGAAATGGGCAAGTCATGTCGTCGGCTAGTAGAGCCAAAGAGCAATGGGCTTCTTGGCGGCTCATATGGATGGCCTTTTGTTTTCTTTATCAGTAAAGAATATCAATTTTTTTTGTTAGTTGAGACCTTCTATGCTTGTAATAATCACGGTCTGATGCCCCTTCCACGAGGAGGTTTGAAACCAAAATATTTTTTCTACTATCTACAAAATCATCATTAAAGGCATGCTTGCTCAGATAAGCTAGCATCACGCCATGGGCAGACCTACGTTGTGCGAAAACGAGTTGATGGAAAAATGAAGGTGTCATTTAGTTTCTCATTTTCTATAGACATATAGGCACTATCTAGTGAAGTTATATATATATAAAAAAAATCATATACTACAACTAGTTAGCCGCCGCTTTCATATAATTTTTGGGTTAGGTAGCCTGACGAAAAAATTGGTGCAATGCAGTTTACGGATATACTTGTTGTTGGTTGAGACCTAGTCTGTGCTTGTAATATTCGTTATCTCTGATGTCCCTTCCATGAAGGTGTTAATTAATTTGGAGCTGGAATTAATATTTTTTTGATCATCTAAAAAATCGTCATTAAAGGCATACTCAGGTAAGCTAGCCTCACCAGGGGCAGACCTACGTTGGGCCGAAACGAGTGCAGAAGGTAGCATCATCGATCAGTTCTCTCGTTCTCAATAAACACGTATAGGCAGTATCTAGTGAAGTTATATATATGATAAAAAAAAACTCATACACTATAGCTAGTTACCCGGCACTTAGTTTTTGGGCTACGGTCCGGCCGCCACAGAGCCTGACAAAAATGGTTCAAGTTCAATACTATTTCTGGGATTACAAATTACTTTGTTGCGTAATGCTGTCTAGCGTGTAGACGCATGCTCTTGACGGAAAACAGAAGACTTATTATTTTACACTGTATATATAGTCAAAACACCCACCTGTACTGAGAGTACGTCCTACCAACCGCGACTGATCGAGACCGGCCGGCCGGCCGGCCGCATCACGGCATCAGGATTCAGGACTTGGTCACGAGTCAGGGGTCACCACGAATATGCCCTGAAAGTGCCTCTAGTTGTTGTACCGTAGTTATTATTACTTGCGTGCAAAGGCGGTTAATTAGATTCGTGAACGCGTAGCTGTCCACGTATTATCTTTCTGTTTCTGAAAACGTCACCAGACAAGTGTGTGGGTGACTTGCGTGTGCCGTGTCCGTGTCGCTCGATATAAATATAAATACGAGGCCAGAGGCCGAGAGCGTGGGCAACGACCGAGCTAGACGAATGAGTCCCAAGTTCTCAGCAGTCAGCACGATGATGGTCTCCATTACCAGCCACCGCCAGCAGCTCCTGCTGTACCTGCACTTGCTCGTTCACTTGTTCATTTTCTATAGACATATAGGCACTATCTAGTGAAGTTATATATATATATATATATATATATATATATATATATATATATATATATATATATATATATATATATATATATATAATCATATACTACAACTAGTTAGCCGCTGCTTTCATATAATTTTTGGGTTAGGTAGCCTGACGAGTTGATGGGAAAATGAAGGTGTCATTTAGTTTCTCATTTTCTATAGACATATAGGCACTATCTAGTGAAGTTATATATATATATATATATAAAATCATATACTACAACTAGTTAGCCGCCGCTTTCATATAATTTTTGGGTTAGGTAGCCTAACGAAAAAATTGGTGCAATGCAGTTTACGGATATACTTGTTGTTGGTTGAGACCTAGTCTGTGCTTTCATATAAATATAAATACGAGGCCAGAGGCCCAGAGCGTGGGCAACGACCGAGCTAGACGAATCAGTCCCAAGTTCTCAGCAGTCAGCATGATGATGGTCTCCATTAACAGCCACCGCCAGCAGCTCATGATGTACCTGCACTTGCTCGTTCACTTGTTCCTTGGGATCCAACATCAGCTCTCGCACTCCCTCGCCACCTACAGCAACCAAACTACCATACCACCAGCAGCAGCTGTTCCGTGCCGGCCGGACCAGTCCGCGGCGCTGCTCCGGCTGCGGCGTTCCTTCTCCGCCACCACCACCACCGACTCCACACGCACCCTCGCGTCATGGCGGCCCGGCACGGACTGCTGCCGCTGGGAGGGCATCGCCTGCGCTACCGCTGACGGCCGCGTCACCACCCTCGACCTCGCGGAATGCGGGCTGCAGAGCGCCGGCCTCCACCCGGCGCTTTTTGAGCTCACCTCCCTGAGGTACCTGGACCTCTCCTTCAACAGCTTCAACGAGTCGGAGCTCCCGGCTGTTGGGTTTGAGCTGCTCACCGAGCTCACCTACCTCAACCTCTCCTACACCGACTTCATAGGCAACATACCGCACGGGATACGGCGGCTCAACAAGCTAGTATCCCTGGACTTCACCAACTGGATTTATCTTGTTGAAGGTGACAATGACTATTTCCTGCCACTCGGTGAAGGAAGGTGGCCCATCGTAGAGCCAAACATTGGATCATTCGTCGCTAACCTTAGCAACCTCAAGGAGCTTTATCTAGGCAATGTCGACTTATCCGGCAACGGGGCAACATGGTGCAGTGCCTTTGCTAATTCCACTCCACAGCTTCAGGTTCTTAGCCTACCAAATACACACATCGATGCTCCAATTTGTGAATCGTTGTCCAGCATTCGCTCACTGACCATGATCAACCTAAACTATAACAAAGTCTATGGCCAAATTCCAGAGTCCTTTGCTGACTTACCTTCCCTCAGTGTTCTTAAGCTTGCCTATAATCGCCTCGAAGGACGGTTCCCGATGAGGATCTTCCAGAACATAAACTTAACGGCTGTTGATGTTAGTTATAATTCCAAGGTATTGCATCAGCTGACTTTCACCAGGAGCAGCTTCCCACTTCAATTGGTGAGCTCAGATCATTAACATCATTACAGGTTTCTGGGGCTGGTATAGTAGGAGAAATACCATCTTGGGTTGCAAATTTGACTTCTCTGGAAACTCTACAGTTCTCGAACTGTGGGTTATCTGGTCAAGTACCTTCCTTCATAAGTAACCTCAAGAACCTAATTAAATTGAAATTGTATGCATGTAATTTTTCTGGTCAAATTCCTCCACATCTATTTAATCTTACTCAATTAGGCATCGTAAATTTACATTCCAATAGTTTCAGTGGTACCATTCAACTCAACTCATTCTTTGAAATGCCCAACCTAGTCATACTGAATCTTTCAAACAACAAGCTTTCCGTAGTAGATGGGGAATACAATTCTTCATGGGCATCCATCCAAAACTTTGATACTCTATGTCTAGCATCTTGTAACATATCCAAGCTCCCTAATACCTTAAAGCACATGTATTTTGTTGAAGTTCTTGACCTTTCAAACAATCACATCCATGGCCCTCTACCACAGTGGGCATGGGATAATTGGATCAACTCTCTCATCTTGATGAACATATCACACAACCAATTTAGTAGTGGTATTGGATATGGCCCTGTCATTTTTGCTAATATATTTGTTATCGATATCAGTTATAACCGATTTGAAGGGCCTATACCTATACCAGGACCGCAGAACCAACTATTTGATTGCTCAAACAACCAATTCTCATCCATGCCATTCAATTTTGGTTCTCACTTAAGTAGTATTTCCCTACTCATGGCTCATGGAAACAAGTTGTCTGGAGAAATTCCACAATCAATCTGTGAAGCAACAAGCCTTATGCTCCTTGATCTCTCCAATAATGATTTGATTGGCTCCATCCCTTCTTGTTTAATGGAGGATATGAGTCGCCTCAATGTATTAAATTTGAAAGGAAATCAACTTCATGGAAGATTACCAAATAGCCTGAAGCAAGATTGTGCATTTGAGGCATTAGACTTTAGTGATAATCAAATTGAAGGACAATTACCTAGATCTCTAGTTGCTTGCAAAGACTTGGAGGTTTTTGATATTGGGAAGAATCTTATTAATGATACATTTCCATGTTGGATGAGTATGCTTCCTAAACTTCAAGTCCTTGTTCTAAAGTCCAACAGGTTCATGGGAGATGTGGGACCATCTATTTCAGAATATCAAAATAGTTTTGAGTTTGGAAAAGTTCAAATTATTGACTTGGCTTCAAACAATTTCTCTGGACTATTGCGAAACAAGTGGTTTACGTCAATGGGATCCATGATGACTAAAGATGTCAATGAGACGTTGGTCATGGAAAATCAATATGATCTACTTGGCCAAACATACCAATTCACCACTGCCATCACATACAAAGGATCTGATATTAGTTTTTCTAAAATATTGAGGACCATTGTCATCATTGATGTTTCTAATAATGAATTCTATGGCACTATTCCTGAGTCAATTGGGGACCTTGTTCTACTTGGTGGGCTAAATATGTCACATAATGCCCTCATTGGACCGATCCCATCTCAGCTTGGCATGCTACATCAACTTGAGTCACTAGACTTGTCTTCAAATGAACTTTCTGGAGAGATCCCATGAGAGTTGGCATCATTGGACTTTCTTTCAGTGTTGAATCTATCCTACAACAAACTGCAGGGAAGAATACCCGAGTCTTCCCACTTCTTGACATTCTCCGATCTCTCATTTTTAGGAAATATTGATCTGTGTGGGTTTCAAGTGTCCAAAGCATGTAACAACATGACACCAGATATGGTTCTACATCAGTCAAAGAAGGTATCAATAGACATTGTACTATTCCTTTTTGCTGGATTGGGATTTGGTGTCAGATTTGCACTTGCAATTATCTTAACATGGTGTGGGGGGTACAACCCCGGATACCCACGGTGGACCACATGGGCTGCGCCCCCAGGGGCGGCCCAGCCCACAAGATGAAGCCTTGCGGGGCACGATGCTGCTCGGCGTCTCCCGCAAGACACCGTGAAGATATCCTGAAGATACTACGAGATCTGTTAGGATACGTATGATCCCATGATTCCTATAATATGTTATTACCTTTTGGTTATCTCCTAGATCTAACCGACTTGTAACCTTGCCCCCTGGACTGTATAAGGCGGGCAGGGACCCCCTCCGAACTCACGCAATATCATACGATAGCCAATACAATCCAACAGACCACATGAGTAGGGTATTATGTCATACTGATGGCCTGAACCTGTCTAACTCGTGTGTCTCTATTGCCTTCTTGTTCTCGATTACACACATCTTTGCCGATCAATCTACCTTCGTGGGATACCCCTCGGAGGACTGCCGACGATATTCTATCGACAGTTGGCGCGCTAGGTAGGGGTGTGCGTGCTGTTTCCATGTCGAACAAGATGGTACGTTCTGCAAGCTCTTCGTCCCTCCCACAGCCTAGCCAGATCTTCACGGTCGAATCGATCTCGTGGATCATCAATGCTGACGGAGTCATAGAGCTCATCGAGCCGGTGCAGATCAATACTGCGCTGATCACCCCAACACCTGCGACTGCAGATCCTATCTCAAAACCCCCTTCGAGGTCATCTTCGCTGACAATTCGCTGCCCACTCCCTCGCTACCAGAGGAGGCAAATCAACAACGATGATCTGATCGCATCCATCGATCAGGTTGGCCAAAAGCTCGCCGATTGCCTCTCCATCGTGGAATCGGCTTTGACCACTCCGATTCAGCGCCGACCACCCTCCGGTTCAGATCTATCGGAGGAAACTCCAAGGGTTACGGTCCTACCCTTTGGGCTCACCAATGTCGCCGCTACCTACCAAGATGCCCTATGGGGCAAATTCGCCAACCAGGTTGGAGGTGTCCATCCTCCCACCGACCAGATCGCCGACCAGCTCCCGCCGGCTGTCAACATGCTACACGTCGGCCGACGCCCCGGAGCATCCCTCCAAACCATCATGGAGGAGAATCTAGGCTCTGAGTCCTAGGGCTCTACGGAGACTATCGCCAAAACCCCCGCCGAGCAACCTCCCTTCCCTCCCTTTCGTGGAGGCGCAATCTTCAATGTTAGCGTCGATAGCCCCCCGCAGGAAGGGGAAACCGAGGAGGACCTCGCTGCCCGCGTCAATAGGAACGTCAACCATGCACAGCGCTGAGCAAACGAGGCTGCCCTTGTGCTAGCCGAGGCTCAGCTTGACTCGCAAGGAAGGCCATGCCAACTCCACCGCAACCTCGACGACGAGTTTGTCCGTATTGACGGCCACGACGTCTACAAGACCCCAAGTGCCAACTTGGCCATGGCCGCCAACGAGCTCGCCCAGCTTCCACAGACACCGAAGGTCGCCAAGCTCGCCACCATGCTTAAAGCGGCGCACTGCTAGGTCAATGAGATCCGCAAGGATCAGAGATCTTCATACTCCACGAGCTCAATTCGCCGATCAACTACGCCGAGATCCAATCGCCACCCCAGCCAAAGTCGTTTTGTCGACCAGCACCGCGACGATGGACAACCCCTCCAGGTGGGAGCTAGGGGCAACCGCATTGAACACCCTCGCCAGCATGACCAGGAGGTCGAACAAGATGTCCGAGTACACCTTAACAATCTCCGAGACGCGCGACGACATATCGACGAGCGCCGTTTCGGTCGCCATGAAGAAGTACGCCGCCATCAAGAATACGAGCAAGAGTTCGGTGATCCAGACTCAGCCCTCTAGCCACTCAACGTCGGCAACACCGTAGATCACAACAATGACAATCCCGAAGGGCCCCCAGCATTGACGAGGGCACTTCGAACACTTCAGTGGTCCTGTGGTTTCAAAATCACTGGGGTTGAGCCCTATGAAGGACGGATGAACCCCACACAGTGGCTACAAGCCTATGCCACTACTGTGTGCTCCACCGGGGGAGATACCAGCGTCATGGCAAACTATCTTCCCATCATGCTTACGCCAACTGCGTTGAACTGGTTCACAAGCCTCGCCCCGGACTCCATCGGATCCTAGGAAGAGTTGAAGAAGGTTTTTACCGACAACTACATGGCTACGTGTACTTGGCCGGGCACTAAGCATGATCTGAACCGCATCTACCAGAAGCCATCTGAGCTCCTCCGTAGCTACATCAGATGCTTTTTCGAGATGAGGAATTCTATTACCAATATCATGGAAGCTGAGGTCATCACCGCTTTCGTTCGAGGACTCCATCACCATGACCTTCGCTCCAAGTTCAACCGCAAGCCACCCATAGGGATTGGCGAGATGATTACGACCGCCAACCAGTACGCCAACGCCGAAGAAACCAAAGTGCGCTTCAACGAGGACACGGGCGCTCATCGCCCAACTCAACGCAACGACGAGTGACCCGACGACCGACGCCACAGCGATCGCCACTACGACGACCACGGTCACCATCGAGACAGCGGTCGTGATCGGCCGAAAGGATCTAGATCTAGTCAATATCATCGTCGCCGACCAGACCGCATTGTCACCGCCGTTGACGAACCTCGTGTCAAGCGCAACTATGACGAGCAGTATAAGAAGATCCTCGAAGGCCTGTGCCCTCTTCATAAAAACACCAAGCATAAGATGAAGGACTGCCTAGGCTTGGCTAAGGAGTTCTAGGCCAAAAAGCCGGACGACGACAACAACGATGGAGCCGGAGGCTACTGACCACCTAGGGGCAACAACAATGCCTTCTAGGATCACAACAAGGTGGTCACCACCATCTTCGGAGGCCTTGCCGCCGCCGAAAATAGAAGAGATCGGAAGCTCACCGCCCGCCGAGTGCTCGCCATCAATGCGGAAGACACCGTTGCCAACCCCAGCTATCGCCCCTGGTCTGAGGTCCCCATCACCTTTAGCAGGGCCGATCAGTGGGTGGACATACCTTACATAGGGTGTTTCCCCCTCGTCCTTGACACAACCATCCATAAAGTGCTTTTCAAAAAAGTGCCCGTCGACGGCGGGAGTGCTCTGAACCTCCTCTTTGTTGGAGCCCTAATGGAGCTGGGCCTCGGGATAGGAGATCTCACACCCTCTGACTCCTCCTTCTGGGGTGTGGTACCTGGCAGGGCATCCAAACCGCTTGGAGAGATCACCCTACTAGTACAGTTCGGCACGGCTAGCAACTACTGCGTCGAACACATCAACTTCTACGTCGCCGACTTCAACACCGCCTACCCCCCATACTTGGTCGGCCAGCTCTGGCCAAGTTCATGGCCATACCACACTACGCTTATCTGGTGCTGAAGATGCCTTCGCCTATAGGAGTCCTAGCCCTATGGGCCAACCTCTCCATCACCTACGCCTGCGAGACAGAGAGTCTCGCCCTCACCGAAGCCACCGACCTCTCCATCCATATGGCCAGTGTGGTCACCGATGCCAAGATGGTGCCCACCGACAACCCGGAGATCCCATCGCTAGAGCCTCATTGTGCCTCCGCCAAGTCCAAAGAAACCAAGGAGGTCGGCCTCAGCCTCGATGACTCCTCCAAGACTGTGAAGATTGGGGCTCACCTCAACCCCAAATAGGAAAGCGCGCTCGTCTCCTTCCTATGTGCCAAGGCAACGTGTTTGCTTGGAAACCTACAGACATGCCGGGGGTACCATGGGAGAAGATCGAGCACTCCTTGAATGTCTCGCCGACCGCCAAACCGATCAAGCAGAAACTCTGACGATTCGTGCCAGACAAGAAGGAGGCTATTAGGGTAGAAATAAAACGGCTCCTAGCTACCGGATTTATAAAAGAAGTGTATCATCCTGAGTGGTTAGCGAACCCTATTCTTGTTCAAAAAAAGAATAAGGAATGGAGAATGTGTGTTGATTACACTGATCTCAACAAACGCTGCCCTAAAGACCCCTTCGGTCTGCCTCTGATAGATGAGGTTGTAGACTCCACCGCCAGCTGCGAACTGCTCTCCTTCCTCAATTATTACTCCGGCTATCACCAGATTTCCCTCAAGAAAGATGACCAGATCAAGACGTCGTTCATCACACCTTTTGGTGCGTACTGCTATACCACCATGTCCTTCAGACTCAAGAACACTGGGGCGACCTACCTAAGGGCCATCCAAATGTGCCTTGATCAACAGATAGGCCACAATGTCAAAGCTTACATTGATGATGTGGTCATCAAGTCCAAGACCGCCGACAATCTTATCGCCGAACTCGAGGAAACGCTCGCCAACCTGAAAAGGTACAGATAGAAGTTGAACCCTTCAAAGTGCATCTTTGGAGTTCCATCCAGCATACTCCTGGGCTACATCGTCAGCGCCAGCGACATCGAACCCAACCCCGACAAGGTCTCCGCCATCACCAACATGAAACGACCAACATCCATAAAGGATATACAGAAGCTTACAGGTTGCATGGCTGCTCTCAACCGCTTTATATTGTGCCTCGGTGAAAAGGGACTACCATTCTTCAAACTCCTCAAGGCCTCCGAGCACTTCTCCTGGTCGGAGAAGGTAGATACAACTTTTGAGCAGCTCAAGTTGTTTTTAATGAAGCCTCCGATCATGATGGCGCCTCGACCAGATGAAACTCTACTAATCTACATCGCCGCCACTTCGCGCATCGTTAGCACAGCTATTGTCGTCGAACATGA